ATCACATGACAGAGAAATATATTGATTTGGATATTAAAAAGTAGAAAGTTAGTCTCAAAATCCATGACTTATTATTAATTCAATTTCAATATTTACAGGTTTTTTGTTTTTTTTTGTTTTTTTTTTTTTTTGGAGATAGAGCCTCAAGCTGTCTCCCTGGGTAGAGTACCGTACCATCACAGCTCACAGCAACCTCCAACTCCTGGGCTCAAGCGAGTCTCCTGCCTCAGCCTCCCAAGTAGCTGGGACTACAGGCGCCCGCCACAACGCCCGGCTATTTTTTGGTTGCAGCCATCATTGTTGTTTGGCGGGCCGGGCTGGATTCGAATCCGCCACCTTAGGTGTTATGTGGCTGGCGTCTTAGCCACTTGAGCCACAAGCGCTGAGCCTATTTACAGGTTTAATACTTTATTGAGGAAAGTAGTTAGAGGTTCAGTGTCTGTAGCTCAAGTGGCTAGGGTGCCAGTTACATATACCGGAGCTGGCAGGTTCGAATCTAGCCTGGGCTTGCCAAACAACAATGACAACTACAACCAAAAAAAAGGAAAGTGGGCAGAAACAGGTTGAGATACGACTCAGCTTGCTTTCTGAGACAGTCTTACTATGTCACCCTCAGTAGAGTGCCGCAGGATCACAGCTCACAGCACCCTCAAACTCTTGGGCTCAAGTGATTCTCTTCCCTCAGCCACCAAAGTAGCTGGGACTATAGGTGCCCGCCATAACCCGTGGCTATTTTTAGAGACAAGGTCTCGCTCTTGCTCTGGCTGGTCTCAAACCTGTAAGCTCAGGCAATCCACCTGCCTCTGCCTCCCTGAGTGCTAAGATTACAGGTGTAAGCCACCTTGCCCTGTCAAATTCTTCATTTTCTACATCTTACTGAACTACTTTGTTTCCAGTTTGTAAAATCTAAAACAAAGTATCACTGAATTTCTTTAGTAGTTCTCAAACACAATGAAGTGAAGAAGCTTTCTGAATTACTTGTTTTGGTTTTTTTTTTGAGACAAAGCCTCAAGCTGTCCCCCTGGGTAGAGTGCCATGGCATCACCGCTCATAGCAACCTCCAACTCCTGGGCTCAAGTGATTCTCCTGCCTCAGCCTCCCAGTAGCTGGGTCTACAGGTGCCCGCCAGCTCAGGTGTATGTGGCTAGCGCCTTAGCCACTTGAGCCACAGGCACTGAGCCTCTGAATTACTTGTTTTAAACCATCATTTCTGAGACTAGGGCCTAAGGATTTGTTTTCAGAAGTTTGGGATTCTCTGAGAATTTAAGGTTGTATCTTATTTTCACAAGCATAATCTGGGTTACTTGAACATCCACCTCACAACTGTACAAGGCTATGATTTCAGTGCCCACATTTGCTTCTGTGTTTAAGATTATATTCACACTAAGTCTCCTAACGAGAGGTTTTAATGCAGTCTTTTTTTTGGAGACAGAGTCTCACTTGGTGACCCTCAGTAGAGTGCCGTGGCATCTTAGCTCACAGCAACCTAAAACTCTTGGGTTCAAGCAATCCTCTTGCCTCAGCTTCCCCAGTAGCTGGGACTACAGGTGCTAGCCACAATGCCCAGCTACTTTTTAGAGACGGGATCTCACTCTTACTCAGGCTGGTCTCCAACCTCTGAGCTCAGGGCAATCCACCCACCTCAGCCTCCTAAGTGCTGGGCTTACAGGTGTAAGCCACTGCGCCTGGCAATGCAGTCTTTTTTCAACCTGGGGTTCAAAGTCTGTTTCTGAGTTAAAGTTTGAATAACGCTGGCATAGATTTTCTACTTTCTAAAATTCTCTTTTCCAGCTTTTATTTGATGACTTTAATACGTGTTCACTGTCTACTACATGCTAGTACAGCAGTGAATAAGAGAGACCAGAACCTGCCCTTAAGAGCTTATCACTCTGGCAGGAAAGATCAACATTATTAATGAGAAGGCCTAGGATCCTTGATTGACATCACACAAAGAGTAAAATACTCTGAAAAACAAAATGGTTATCTGACCTCCTTGCTAATTGCTATTATGGATCAGAGAACCCTCTGGTCATCTGCATAGTCTCAAAATATTCTAAGACCTTGAGGTCAATTTGGTCTTACCTGTCTAGAGACAGGTAAACTGATCTTCTTTTAAAAATTCTTGGCTCGGCTCGGCGCCTATAGCTCAACC